CTTGTCCTCATTTCAGGCTGGGTCTGGCCCCAGAGGTAGTGAGATGATGCCAAACCTCCTAATGGAGCTTGACAGCAGTGGGATTAAAAGCACAAGTGAGATCACAACCCCTCTGCAAACAGCTTCTGCCCTGGAAGAGCCAAATCAGAACAGAAACCTCCTGGCAGTGGGGAGGGGGTGACGAGCCCACACACACGCAGGGTGAGGGGCAGCAGGGGCTGGGGGGAACCTCATCCATCCCCTTGCGTGCCCTGACCAACTCACTGGCAATAGGAAGGAGCCAATTTCCACCCCCCAGGCAGTACCAGTCAAGGGTTTCACCAGAAACAGCCCCAATTCCAACTGGTCCTAAACTCTGGCTGCAGAACAGCCCATGCCATGTGCCCCTTCCTCTTGCTGCCTGAGAGTTCAAGGCATCCCACAGCACACACTCTTCTCCCTCTCCTTTGCGTGCTCTGGAGTGGTGCCACTGACTCTGGAAACATCATCTGAGCAGGTAGGTCCAAGATGGAGAGGAGATGGGAGAACTCAGGAGGACACCCACAGCCCCCATTTCTGTGGGATGGGGCGTGCACAGACCCTTGCAGGCAGCACCAGGCCCAGGAGCACAGCCCTGCTTCAACTAAATGGCAGCACTGACCCATTTCCCAACCCTGGGATGCTCCAGCAGTACTGCTGCCACAGGTCTCCTTCATACTCCTTCCTGCCAGCAGGAGTATCTCAGCATTTCCCCCCAAATCCACCCAGCCGGGCCTTTGCAGAGATGAAGTGTTGGTCAGCTTGCATGACCCATCCCATGGGTGGCCTCTAAGTCACCCTCCAAAAATTCAGCAAGGCACAGGCACCATCCCCATCTCTGCTCATCCAAACCCAGCAGCCAGAGGCTGCTCTCCTGCCCGGCAGTCATTTGCTCCCAGCAAAATGCAAGGGAAAACCAGGGCTTTTTACTGCAAGAAAAAGGGAGCCACTCCAGGGACCAGTGGGAAAGCTGACGGGTCTTGGCACAGCACTCAGGCTGAAAAGCTCCAGCTCCAGACCTTATTTTGCAGTGACCTGTACCAAGAATTGGCTTTCCCATTTTTCTTGCCAAATGGAAAGAAAAAGAAATCCTTCCAGGTCAGAGGAAAGAAAAGCATTTACTCGCGGGTCAAGTGAAACAATCCGATGCAGGGTTGAGTGCACTTTTATCCTCCCCAAACCAGGAACCGATTCAATTTCCATCTGAAAAAACCCCACATCTAAAAATAAAAAGACAAATGTTTTTAGGGTCAGAAGCACTCAATTTTGGTTTTCAAGTCCAAATGATTTGCTCAGTTGAACCCCATGTTCCAGAGCACTCAAAAGTGCAGAGGGGTGGGGAGGGATAGGCTGATGCATGAATCTGGAAAATTTCAGCCTCGCTGAGATGGCACCAGTCACAGAGACCACCACAGGGCCAGCCTGGGACCTCTGTGTCCCCAGCATTCAGCCTGGGTACCCCAAGCTCCTGCCCAGCCCTCCTGCAACCCAGAGCACCGTGAGGGAGGTGTTTGGCCACCTCTGCAGCACTGTGCTCATCCAAAGTGAGCTGTCACCTTCCATCCTCCTCCCCAGCCAAATACTTCCTGACAGCCCGCTTAGAACTCAAAGCGCCCGATTACCACCACGGCCAGGCAGCCGCTTGCAGGTGCCAGGAGAACCTTTTCCTGGCATACCCCTCAAAACAAAATCCCTGCCCAGAGCATCGCTCCTCACCCTTTCCAGACTCACCCACACCCCAGGATCCTTCCTGAGGTGGTCCAGGTCTGGCTCTGCTCTTACATACATGGCCCCAGCCACGGGGACACCACGTTTCCATCACCTGCTTCCCACCACCCCCCAGTGGGGAGCAGAGCCACCCGCCCCAGCTCCATCCACCTGCCAGGGCTGACCCCAGACCCCCGGCATCACCCGAGTCCATTAGTGAGTCCCCTGAGCACACACCTCGCCGGTGTGTTGCTTAACCCCGGCTTTTAGGGAGAGCTGCAAAGCCTTTCAATTTTTAATCTGCTCTAAACATTTCGGTCCTCGCCCCGAGGACTCCCAGTCGATAACCTCTGCTGGCAGCACGGCTGCCCCACAGCTACGGGGAAGGGGGAAACCAGGGGCAAAGGAGAGGGAAGCAGCTCCACCCCAAGCTCCTTTGGAGGAGCAGGACCCCTTTACACACACACACACCTTGGGATGAAGGGCACCCACACCGGGCACTCCAGTGAAAGGGACCCCAGTGTTCCATGGAGATGCTGCTCAGGGAGGATTCCTGACCCCTCCAGTAGGAAGATGACATCTGCAGAGCACCTTAATCCTTCCATCAGACACCTCTATGGGGCTGGGTTCCTCCAAAATTGATAAGGTGGTTTACCCTGATGCCTGGCACAGCCACCTCTCCCTCCCCCCCGCCTGGCACTGCAATGCCCAGGAGCAGGGACATGAATACAGCATCACTTTGCAGTCCCTGAGGCATCTTTCTCTTTTTCCACTGCCTTAGGCAACAAATGTACAAACAGGGGCCTGCTGGGTACGAGGAATGTGAGCCAAACTGCTCTGGGAAGGGAAACGCTGCTCCCTTTCTGCACGCATGTTAAGCTCCCAGTGTCCACACATCTCCTTCCAGACCCCCACAGCATCTCCTAATCTCCAATTCCTTGGGACAGCCCTCACCAAGCAACAGTGGGACACATCCCCAAAATTCCCTGTTACACCCCCACCACACCCCAGGAAACGAGTGGGGACAGAGACAGCCCCAGCCAGGAATGGGGGCACTGCTCACTCACCAATCTTCTTCAGCTCCTCATCTCCCTCGCCCTCCCAGACCCCCAGGGAGGAGGAGTTTTAGGCTGCAGGGAGCTGAGCAGCTGAGTGCTGGCCTCGGCTGCCATCTAGCAGCGATCCAGCAGCAGCAAGGACAGGGTGACAGCCCCTCTGGGTTCCAGCCCCTGCTGCAGCCCAAGGAGGGGCAGAGGACGGTGTGGGGGTCTCCTCGGGACACGCCACCCTAGCCCCAGGTCTCACCTCCCTGAAACCAAACAGGGGTCCTGCAGCAGAGGGGGTGACCCCCGAGCAACATCAGCTCCGTTAGAGGGGATGGATGACAAACATGTGCAATGAGCCCCCTGGCCCAAACACAGCACCAGAGAAGTCAGGCTACCCCTGCACTGGGTTGGACAGCCCCTGCTCTTCACCATTCTGCTTTCACCTCCTTCACCATTCTGCTTTCACCTCCTTCACCATTCTGCTTTCACCTCCTTCATCAGCTTTCCCAGTAGTTGCTCTCTAGCAAGTCCTACATTTCATTTTTTTAGCACTTTCACATCCCAAACCAAACCCAAAATGCTGAAATTAAAACAACAGAATCATAGAACGCTTTGGGTTGGAAGAGAGTTTTAAAGATCACCTAGTCCAATCAGGCCCTTGAAGGCCCTGAAGCCCTGAGGGATAGTCTAGGGACCCGTAAACCAGCTGAATGCCAGCATTCCTAACCAGGGCCCTTCTGTTTTCACTGCTTTTCTCTGCATTAACAACCTCACATTCATCAGGATTACTTGCCACAGGCACAAAGCTATATAAACATGGACAATGTCACGCTTCAAGCTTTCTCTTGCTAGATCCTTTACAGATTTTATTTTATATGTGAGATGAAATTCCTGATGCTTTGTATACATGGCATTCAACAAATCACAGCACTTTTTTCTTGGGGAAGGTTTCTTCAGCCCTCCTCAGAGCAAGGAGTGTGTAGAGCACCCGCTGTCTTAAAAACCAATGTCAAAACTGCTCATGCACTGAGGGAGGGAGGGATAGGCAGCCAGTTTCCCTCTCCTAAACTTAAAGGATATAGAACACAATGTTACACTTAGATGTTCTCCTGAACCACTATATTAAAGAGCAGTAACTCAGTAGACCACCAGTACAACAAAAATAAAGTATCTCCCTGAAATTAAAAATACAAACCCAAACTATTTTCCTGAAAGTAAAAT